AACATTATTTGGATAGACGGAGTATATATTTAAAAAAAAGATTGTATTAAAAAAGTGGATACGAGAGGGTGTTCAGACCTTTCTAGACAACAGAAATGGGTAAACATGCAGTCTGTAGAATTTCTAAGTCGAGTTGAACATAAGGGTGAGATGCGCCTAGATTGTGACATCACATACCTTACTTTAAGTGTCATCAAAGCCCACCCCCCCCCCCCCCCCCCCGATTTTCCATGTTCAGGAAAGCTCGTGTGACCTTGAAAGAACGTGAAATTAGAACGTGATGACATTTTTCAGCATGGTGGCATAATGATTGTATTCTAAAAATATTACTTTTGTCTGCCTTCGAACTAAAATCATTATAAAATTTTGGAATTCCATAAACTATTCCTCTTTTCACAAAGATGCTTTATTTGATGATAAAAAAAATATTGCATACATTATAAAGAGGACTGCAGAAAAAAATGAACATCGGAAAAACACAATTATTTCTTGATGCGTTTATTTAGAAAATGTTATATTTGCATCGGTTTACAATCGTGCAAGTAAGTTTAGGCTAAATAATAACATTTCTTCATAATAAAACTGACAAAAACACACACAGGCTATAACTATCGGATATAAAAAGTTAAAACTTGCTTTCTAATAACGTGTTACCCTAGACATGTGAAAACTTGTTCATATTATGACGTCATTTTAAGACGTCGTTGTCCTTTACTTCACACATTGATAAGGAACATCAACAAAATAGTTTCGGTTCAAAGGCATACCTTATTTTTGTTCTACAGACAAGATTTATGTTCCTTAATTCTCCTGCCAAACGACCGAACTTGTTTTTTGTTAAATCAAAATTTAACAATACAAGAATAATTCTGATCAAAAAGAGACTAAATTATAGAGTATTATACAAATACTGTATAGCAGATTCAATTTGCAGCAAATCATGGTCAGTTGATTTTGCGAATAGGAATTATACAATTTTTATCAGTACTGCAAGCATTTTCCACGAGTAATGTGTCAATGCTGAGCCTGATTACTAGTAAATAATATATTTACAGTATTGCACAATCTGACCCACTGCATCATCATAGCATTAATGTAACACTATGTACATAAAAAAGGAAGGTCAACCAGATTAGATTAAAAAACTATGACAACTAAAATATTCAAATTAAATATGTTTAAAGTTGACCATTTCATAAACATATTACAATTTAAAGAATAAGAAAATTTCAGACTCTCAAGATGAGAAAAAAAATTCTCAGTAGGATACAAAGAGGATTGATTCGGTAAATAAAATTAGAAAAATAAATTTTGAAGATGAAGCTGAGGAGATGAACATTGTCTTTGAAACTTAGAGAAACATTCAAAATTCCATCCAATTTATATTGAAATTATAAATCTATTGTCTTTTGAATTTGGTTAGCTAGTTACTATACGGACCTGGTAAGGTATTAGTTAACCTCGGTCTTCGGCCTTGGAAAAGAGTGTTTTCTATCGAGGTTATTTAAGCAAGAGATATTTCCCCATGCTTTCCATATTGTAGGTCAATATCCCCAAAATCCATCCTTATTCAACGAAGTGCAATTTGATATACATGTATTGGCACTGAGGTGATGAACACATTTCTTTAATGAATATAAAGACGTTCGTTAAAGCCGTCTTTAATTCACAAATTCAATATTGTAAATAATTTCACCATATATTTCTGGCATGTATGTTTAAAATTGTTACCCAAAGAGGAAGATTAACTACTTTGACCTACAAAATGGCGGCCAAGGTGAATATGACAATAATAAAACATTAAAATGAAACAAATAAAACATAATACGTCAAAGGTATACTATCTTTACTATCTATACCTGACCAAGGTCCGTATAGTAATGGGTCGACTTCATCAAAAGTCAATCAATATTTTGCTTAAGTTGAGTGCATAAAAAGATAACACTTCGTACGTCACGTCATTTTTTGTATACATTATATTCGATATTCTGCATGTATGGTTAAAAATATCTTAACCAGCTCTTTAAAATGATTTGTTATCTCTTTATCTAAATATCATCAAATATATACATTGTATCAACCATCCTTCGTGTTCTATTTTAAAGGATACATGTAACCCTTTATCAATTTCCGCGAATTGGCAATTACAATCACATGTAAGTATTGTACATTAAAGATGCATTTTGGTGTACAGAAAATTTACCAAGCGGGTGTCTGTCATAGCAGCTTCTTGTACTTCACGACTTTTAATTATTGAAATAAGGTAAATATGCTATATTTTGTTGTGAATTGTTAGTTTCTGTTTACATTTCATCTTTACCGGTATAACTTTCAGTGCATAAAATAATTTAACCTAGAGATTCTCATCAGTTCGAGAAATTATTTTTTACCATATTCTTGAAAAAAAGCGATCAAATTTTTGAGGAAGCATCAGTTGGAAACTATGATACATGTATCTAAAATGGTACATGGGTTTTTATTACATATACATGTTATAGTACTTGTAAAAGCCTCATTTCTACACCCTAGTCTATATCTTGGAATTTCTAATTCAACGATAAATGGATAAATGGTAAGATTATTTCGTGTAAAAAAAAGTATACGGGGATTTTTCGGTTTTTAAACAAATTTAAATTTTAAAAGCCAATCAACAGCAAACATTTTTTACCACTTCTATTTATAGCGAGACAATTGGCAAGATAGAGGGACTGAAACGTACGGTAATTCCTCACATTTTTGTTGAAATGACCACAGAACGTACTATTGTTGCCATCTACGAGTATGTACTCTAGCTATCATGCATCCAGATTGGCCAGGACTCTTCTTAATGAAGCACAGAACAGTGGGGGATTCTTTACTAAAAAAGCACAAAATCTATCACGTGTTGATGTTGCTGTTGGTATGAATATTAACATACCTTATATTAAATGCTAAACTTTGAGGAAAAATACAGTCGGTGCGATGAAGATTCTTACCCCTTCACTGTGGGTCCATGATATAGGTTTGTTCAACCACTATTGAAATAATGACTACTACAGAAATAATTATATCAATAGTTGTTGAGATTGCATTTCAATAACAAACATAGGTAATAACCACTACTGAAAAACGACCACTATTAAAACAATTATTTCAATAGTGTGTGAGAGTGCATTTCAATAACAAACATATTAGATAGTAACCACTATTGAAATACGACTACTATTGAAAAAAAATATTTCAATAGTGGGTGAGAATCATTTCAATAACAAATATAGGTTGCAACCACTATTGAAATAATGTTATTTTTTGAAATAAAGATTTCAATATGAATTAAATTATTGACTTCAATAGTGTTTGGAACAATGGATTAGTTTAAACATATTTTATTGAGAAATTCAATCAGGATTGGGCAACAGGCAATGCCTATGCACACCCTCTCCTTGTATAATCGGTCAAGTTAGAATAGTAGGTAATAATACATGAACATGATAATCAATAATATCATAATGAAAAATAGAGATTCACAATCAAGTATTATTTATCAATATTATATCTCAAAAAAAAAATTACAACCCCCTAACTGTATACATATTATTTACATACTGTTCCAGCTTAAAAATAATACAAATATTTCAAAAAAAATTATGCATTTAATAGAATATTTAATAAATAGTATCCCTAATTTAGTCTTCTAGAAGATTTAATAAATTCTTGTACATATGAAAATATTTTACAGTTTGTTTGATAAGAGTATTGACATTTTCCTCTTAGTAGAGCGTCAAGTTAAAAAACAACATCAATATCATTTAATTTTTTTACTAATATGTTTCTTTCAACATTATACGATGGGCAGTTAATAAAATAATGTTCAGTATCTTCAGTATAAAATCCACACTTTTGACATGATTGAATATCTGATAAAAAATGATTTTTTTAAATGTGCATTAAGATTACTAGCATTGTTTCGCAACTGACAATGCAAGATATTTTCTTTTCTATTACCAAAGTTAAAGTACCTACAAGGTTTATTAGTTGCTCCCCAATTCTTAAGCTTTGCTTTAAAGATAGCTAATGAAGGAGAGTTTTTTACATCTTCACTAAGACTGTTCCAAAGTTTTATAGTTGAGGGAATAAAACTATTATAGTATGACATTGTTTTACAAACTGGTATACATAAGTTATTACATCCAGACCTTAGGTTGTAAGCATGTTGAACAGGAAAACAAGGTTGAATCAAATCATACAAATAATCAGGTGCAGAACCATTAATCATTTTATACATCAATTGAAGTTTGTGTTTTTCTCTTCTAAGATATAATGGTTCCCATCCTAGTTCACCATACAAACAAGTTCTGGATGAATTAACTCTAAGCCCAGTAATAATTCTGGCAGCTTCTATCTGAACTTTTTCAAGCAATTCTGAACTACTTTGGGTACAATTATCCCATACAACATCAGCATATTCTAAAATTGGTCTTATAAAGGCAAAATAAATTTTTATTAGTGAATTTCTATCAATACTATGTTTCAATAACCTAATTATATTTAATCTTTTACATGCCTTTTCATATATATTCAATATGTGATTGTTCCAAGAACCATCTGCTTGAAATTGTAATCCTAAATGAACATGAGTATTTGATTGTTTAATATAATCACCTCCATATCCAAACTGAATATTAGGATAACTTATGTGTTTTCTAGTAAAATCAACATTAACCGTTTTTTCACTATTAAAATCTACAGCCCAAGCTTTGGACCAATTTCTTATCTTTTCAAGATCTTGAGTAAGGGACATTGTTGGAGCATTGATATCATTGTCTATAATAGCAAACAAAGAAGTATCATCAGCAAACAGTCGAATATTACAAGATATATCTTTAACTATATCATTTATATATAACAAAAACAAGAAAGGACCCAGTACAGACCCCTGAGGTACCCCAGCATCTATTGTTTTATATGATGATGAAAAGCCTTCTAAATTCACTCTTTGTTGTCTTTCAGTAAGATAGTCTTCAATCCAACCCAGTATATTACTTCTAAATCCAAAGTTTTTAAGTTTGAAAATCATTCCCTTATGTCATACCTTGTCAAAAGCTTTGGAAATGTCACAAAATATAAAGCGTATATCTCTGCCTCTGTCAAGGTTTGACATAATTTTATCATATATTTCAACTAATTGGTTAACAGTAGAATCCCCAGGTTGGAACCCAGATTGGTATTTACACAATAAGTCATGTTCCTTAATATGATTAAACATATATTTAAAAAGTATTTTTTCCATTAGTTTACATATAGAACAAGTCAATGATATTGGTCTGTAATTATTAGGTTGTTGGGGACAGCCTTTATTTTTAAAAATAGGTGAAATATGTGCTTGTTTCCATATGTATGGAAGAACTTTATTTGTAAGTGAAAGGTTAAATAATCTACATAGAGGTTTATATATGGAATAACGGGTTTCCTTTAATATTCTGGGAGAAATTCCATCTGGTCCACATGGTTTAGAGGGATCAAGTATGCTTAACTGATCAAGAACATCTTGATCATTTATTTCAAAATCACAGAAGTAGTCTGGAGGTCCAGCTCCATGTTCGGGCAAATCTGGCTCATTTTCAATATGTGATATATTAGAGAAAAAATTATTAAATTCTTCAGCTTTATCAATTGGATGATACAATATTCTACCATCTTGTGATTTGATAGAGGATGGGGGAGAGCTTTGTTTCTTTAACCTTGCAACAGATTTTGCTATACGCCACCACTTTCCTGGTGGAATAGATGAACAATGGATGAAATATATATTGAAATAATTATTTGCTTACGTGGTGAAACTTTCCTTTCAATACTGGTAGTATTTCAATATTGGTTGAAATCTATGGTTACCATATTGAAATGCATTCTCACCAACTAGAAAATAATTATTTCAGTAGTGCTCGTATTTCAATAGTGGTTAAAACCTATGGTCATTATATTGAAATGCACACTCACCTACTATTGAAATGATGACTTCAATAGTGGTCGTATTTCAATGGTGATTAATACCTATGTTTGTTATTGAAATGCGCTCTCAACCACAATTGAAATAATTATTTCAATAGTAGTCTTATTTCAATAGTGGTTACTAATTATCTTTGTTATTGGATTGCAATCTCAACCACTATTTATATAATTATTTCAATAGTGGTCGTTATTTCAATAGTAGTCGCAACATAGGTTTTCATAGGGCAGAACACCTAGCCTGTGAAATACTGCAACAAATGAAAATTTCCTTCTTTTGTTTTAGATGTATGTCATTTATACACTTGATTTAGAATGAAAATAAATCAAAATCTTGATGACAGATCAAACACGCCATACATTTCAAGTTCAGTTGCAAATGATCGTTTAACATTAAAGTTTTATCAATATACTAATCGCTACATGTTCTAAAACCTGTACTAATTTAATTTTCACGCCTTCCACTAGTAAATTATAACATTTACCACAAGGGAATGAGTGGTAGAGTCAACACCTGTGACATGGCTTCTGCAGACACGGACAAAGAAGTTGTGATTGTTGATGATGGTTCTCTCATGTTTAGAGCTGGGTATTCAGGGGAGAGAGAACCAAAAGTTAACTTCCCATGTGTGGTCGGTAAACGTAAAAAGGTATCTTTTTTTACATCTACCAGTATAAAAATTCTTTATTTCCTTCAAGTTTCAGGTGTAAGGTGTAAGGGTATGGTTCAGTAGATAATTGTACTTTATTCAGATGGAAAAGAACTTTTATTTCCGTTATTACACCTAGCCCTTCCAATATTTGGAAATAATTTATTGGTTTGAAACCTGCTTCTACAATACAACGGAACTAGAAAATTTTCACATAATGTGATTGATCATCAACAAAGTTAATTTCCTATCAAAATTCCCCATAGTCAACTATATAACTATGAAACTTTTCTTTAGAACTTTTTTGAAGACAATTTTGAAATAACACATGTAAGATGTATTTTCTTTTGGGGGGGGGGGGGGTGGTGTTCTAAAACATAGTTCTTTAAAATTAATATCAAAAATTTACTTGTAGGACTTTGGTTTACCATAGTGCAAACGTTGATTAACTACATTTAACTACTTAACTATTATCTATAGTATACATTTTTGTTATGATAACATCAAGTACTATGACGTTGATATTAAAAAGATGCTTGAGATCCTTATTTGCAACATATGTGTTTTCTTTGTAAATCAAGTTTTCCAAAAAAACGAATTGCATTAATTGTGTCCCATTTTGAGCTGACATGTTTCTGTATTCAAACGAAGAAGAATTTACTTAAAAGCTGTTGGAGTGAAGAAGAAAACTCTTGTCGTAGCCTCCAACTCGACTTCAGATATATCGAAGATGTTTTATCAATTTACAATAGTTACTTCCATTTATTTGTCGACTCGATATATCCCAGTGAACTTGAAATAAAAAACACCACAAAGTTTGCAACACCTAATTCATTTTTCGATGTTTTACAGACTACTGACGACAAATTTCAATTAACAACTTAATAGTTTGTATGACAAAAGAGTTCACTTCAGCCTTTCGATCGTCATATCTTTCTTTATTCATATTGTAATATTCCGTTATCATCTACATTAAGTCAGCATTCCGTACATTCTAGGGTTAAATCGCCTAGTAATAACCTATCAATAAATTGTATCGTGACTGACTTGTTTCTTACCTATTGTTATTTTTTTAGACCTTTGTTTTTAAAATAAATTGACTAAATGTTCCGTCTACATGCACTTGATCAATATAGGTAGGGTTAATGGCAGGTGTGAGCGGTCAGCAGGGGATGCTTACTCCGCCAAGGCACCTGAGCCCACTCTTGAAATTTCAGGGGTCCCTGTTGATGCCCTATTAACAGACATGTATTATTTAAAGATCTGATATGATCATTCTCTTCACCCCTTTTTATATGCATATAATACCCCATCCTCAAGAAAACCTCTTTCGCAATTAACTTAGGTATCCGATCCATAACAGCCTCAAATTCAATGAATTTGAATGTATAACAGATATATATTAGATGAATAATCAATATTATGTAAACATACATGTAATACAGAGGATCCTCAGATATCCAGACGCCAGATATCCGAATGCTTCAGTATCCGGACGACTTTTCCTCAGAACAGAATTCTTTAATGCTAGTTGTTCTTCTTTAACTCGTAATTCAGATATCGCATCACATATCAGGACAAATTGACTAGGACCAAAGAGTCCAGATAAATGAGACTCCACTGTAATCATATTTTAGTCTCAATATGCAAGAACAGAATGTGTCTTTTTTTTTTTACCTTGACCCTCCTTGAAGATTTTTCCCCTTTGCTTTTTACCCATAAAATTCATTTTTTTAATCTATCTGGTGAAAAATTATTTTCGATCGTTTTTCTATTATTAACGACGCAGAGTCAAATTCGAGTGCGCATGACTTTGCGCAGCTATATAATTTCATGAAGTCACTTGATCGAAAGCACACCTTTACAAAATACTTTGATTTTAATGCAAAATTAACATTATCTGTAACCCCTACTGGTCTGAAAATGTTATTTCGCGACGATAATAAGGAAAAACTTGCCCTAGCGCCGTCACTATTATCGGGTTTTGATGCAATGCAATGGATATTATACTAAAAACTGATGACAGAACATCCAAAGAAACATACCAGCAATTTAAACATTGCTATTTTTACCGAAAAACATATATGCGCCTATAATTCACCTGCACTGATGTAAATATATACCGTAATATGGCAATTTTAGAGCTATTGGGCTTTGAAAAATAAACTTAGAAATTTATTCCTAGACCAACCTAGATGGTGAACGTTTTTGAAATTGCACGATTTTGTGACTTTTTGTAACAACTTTCATCTACTTGAATGAAAATGAAATCGCTAGGGCAGAAATGCAAAAAAATAATTTGGGGAAATGTGATAATTTTGCATTTAAGTAAGGGACGTTGAGGATAGAAAAGTTAAAGTCGTCACGTTTATCATATAGCATGGTTGTTAGGTTACCATTAACGTCCTTTTCAAGTAAAATATCCAAGTATGAAACAGATGTGTCACTTTGTGGTATCTTTTATCTCAAGCTCTCATGGATATATCGTATCGACGAGGGAACGGAATTTACTATTGTAATTGACAATACGTCATCGATATATCTGAAAGTCGAGTTGAAGCCCACAGCAAATGAAATAAAACGGATTTAAATATATGCTTATTCAAAAATAAGCTTGTTTTGAAAATAAGCCGGTCATAACATTGCCATTGAGGAAAAAAAGTTAAACTAAATGTGTTTCTTGTTTAAATCTAAATCCTTAGTTTACATTCTATTTTTTTTTACTTTTCCTTGGAGTAGGAATGCATACTGCACCTATAGCAACCGTCTGTCACTAAAAGCTCACTGTTTTAAAAAGAGAATTAAAGACATTGGAGCACTTAACTCTTACCGAAGTTTACCTGGATATTTTATTTTATTTAACAATGGAACAAGTAGTTCTCAATATATCAGTTAAATTTTATTGCATTGATTATAAGCTGTGATAATGCGCCCGTCGTTTAGCAGTTTTTTTTTTTTGTACTGATAATAAGCCGCGAGTTGAAAATAAGACGGTTTTGAAAATAAACCCCCACTTTCTTACCAAAACGTAAAATAACTCGCGGCTTATTTTCAAGGTTTTAGGGTATTTAATTGTAATCTGGTTACTTTTATCAATTAAGATTAAATTCGTTAAATGGTTTTTATATAAAGCACTGTGGTTTAATAAATTTTCGCTGGTATCAATTTTCGTAGATTTTGTAAAACAGACGTTTTCGAGGATACATAGTTTTGTGGACAAAGGCATTGTCAATACAAATTTATATCACATTTCTTAATTCAATGAACATTTAAATTCGTGGACCTGCTCAACAACGAAATTTTCGAAATCCTCGAAAATTGGTGCTCAACAAATATTAATGAAACTACTGTAAATAAAAAACATATAAGCCTCCAACTGACCATTTTGTCAGGTATTAGACTACATGTAGTTATTTTATAACGCGCCTATGAGCATATGACATATTGGACAGTTTGGCTTATCACCATCCTACTTTTATGAAAACTTTCTACGTGTCTTTTGATGATATGAATAATCCATACAAATTATTGTGACGTTATAGTATGTTTTTCTTAAATGATATATCCCCATGCCTTTTTCAGACTTTAGTAGAAACAACAATGAATAAAGAACAAAGAACAACCGCTATTGGATATGACGCAGAAAAAGCTCTTCAAACATACGATTTGCATTTTCCGATTGAAAATGGGTGTATCACAAACTGGGATGATATGGAACTTGTCTGGAATCATGCATTTAAAAAAAATAGAGCTCCCGGATAAAAGAATACTTATGACGGCAGATCCTGACGAAGTTAACAGAAAACAGTTATTGGAAAAGTTTTTTACTAAATATTCTCCTGCTGCCGTTTTACTTGCTAATCAGGCTGTTCTTTCCCTTTTGGCTTCAGGTCGATCGACGGGGTTGGTAGTCTGTTTTGGAGAGGGCACATCTTATGTCGTTCCAATATATGAAAATTATGTATTTGAAGACTTTGTCCAAAACTGGGATTACAATGGAAAAGCACTGACAAAAATACTGAAGGAAACGTTGGAACGAGCTGGTTTTAAGCCATCATACACTCTTGCGACAGAGATAAAAGAAACGTATTGTTACGTAGCCCTTGATCCTCAAGAAGAAATAAATAGCTTCACTCCTATATCGCACGATCTATCTGATGGGCAACAAATTAAAATTGGTCCAGAAGCGTTTCAGTGCCCAGAATTACTTTTTCAAAAATATTGCATACACAAAGTTATCATTGACACAGTAAAGAAATGCGATAGCATTATACAGAAGACTTTATTTGCAAATATTGTACTTACAGGAGGGTCTACTCTGCTTCGTGGGTTTTCTGAAAGACTGAAAAGAGAAATAAAACATAATACTGGAGCAAACATAAACATTATTAGTCTTGATGATCATATCTTGTCTGCATGGAAGGGCGGATCTAAGATTGTTTCTGAAAATCTGTTTCCGGAAAAATGGATCACTAAAGCCGAGTTTGAGTCAGGGACGGACACACTCCTATCAAAGTATATCTACTCAATATAAACACTAAATTTTCCAGTACTGCATGGTTATTATATCTATATGCACGAACATAAATTTCATTTACGAATATATACGATCTTCAGCTAAGCCAGGAAGGATAACTCTTAAAATTATGAAGTTCAATATCTTTGTCCCACCCAAATAACAGCAACAAAAACAAAATTTCAAACAAATTATTTCATTCATTCCTTCAAAGTAATCTCCCTTATATTAAATACAGAGATAAAGTCGTTTTATCAAGTCAAAAAACACTTTTTGTACGTTTTTTGTGGTATGGAAATAGGAGCAAGTCACAAGGAAGAAGACCAGGTGAATATTGAGGATGAGGTAGTTCGACAACTTTGTAGAAGTTTTCGAGTAACTTTTGCTTTATGGGCTGGAGCATTGTCATGCAGAAGTTTTAAGTGCCTCTCAAACCGGTATTTGGTCCTCTTTTCAAAATCCCCCTCACTAGTATCGTCAGTCCATGCTCAGTGTTGTGTACAGAGTTATGCAAATTCAATGCACCACTGAAACGAAAACAGTTTCTTTAAACAGAGCACGAGCTTTCAATTATTACTGTTCATGTTTACGGGAGTGTTCGCTAGTTAATATCTGCACACGTCAGTGAGCAAGGATTGACAATATACTGTGAGCGGGTATTACTTTAAAACATTTCTGCTATGAATTTTCCGGATTATATAGTTGATTATTATATAGTCTATTTATAGTCCCTATATAATCTATACAAACGCAAACAGTTCATAACACTACATATTCACTGGATTTTAGGTCGTATTCACCGGAGGGTCACTGCGCGTGCAACGCATTGTGACGTCACAATCAAAACCTTAAAAAAGGTTGTAAACAATTGTGGCCGTATTCACCGGAGGGTCATTGCGCGTGCAGCTTCATTGTGACGTCATAATCAATACCTCAAACAACGTTGTAAACAATGGTTGCAACGGCCACAGCGAGCTACGTATCTGAGCAGGAAAAATATTATACAAACTTATTTCGGGATTATTTTTAAACATTTGGACGTCTTACAAGGCGAAACTCGGAAAGAAAACACGGAGGTGACAAACTATAATCTTAGCATTTTTTTAAACGACGGAAGTTAGTAAATGAAAGTGGTGTCGTTATTCGTATAATATTTTTCGTTAATAAACAGCACAACTGCCACTTTTTAAGTATTAAGAATAAGTTTAAAATTTGTGAAAATGCAAAGATGTGTCAATTAAACCCGTCAAGAAATTCAATGTTTCAAAAACTTTTAGATGCAATAAGATTTTTATTAATTTTTGTGTGAAACGCTATTGTGATATTTAAGTCGTGATATTAACGGTAGATAGAAATTTTGAGAACAGATGAAACAACTATAAACTTTAAATTTGTGTCTAAGCACCTTGAAATTCATATATGGCGTATTTTTCATAAATTCAGATTAAGTGAAATTCAAAATAAATCTTTCTCCATTTTTGTTACTCAATATTAAGATAAGACTTTCCTGTAAATTACACAATTTAAATCAATTGCATTTCATAGATGTCTAAAACAAAAACTGATTTATATATCGACTCGAAATTCCAATATCAGACACAGTTTAAAGCCATTTTAGCTATACAAACGTGGGGATACTTTAAAGGTCATGTATATCTACACTTACATGTGTATTTTAATATTTTGATTTTCTAGCTCAGATACGCCATAAACGAGCTTTGTATCTCTAATTTTCTCGAAATACCGAGATACCTACAGTTTTCTGAAATATTTTTTGATCAATTTTCAATCAGGAAATGCACAGCAGATACTTTGAATCGCATTTCCATAATATATGCATATATGATTATCTTTAATGATGTAGTTTTAAGAAATGCATTTATTAAGAGAATGCAGAGATATGTTTGAAAGCATTTTGAATTACCCAACTTCAGATTTTTATTTTTATTTTTTTTCATTTTATTCTTATTTTTTGTACAAGCAGGCGACATTTTGTGCATTTGTATGTGTATAATTTTTACAATTTTACAGAATCATTTAAAACTCAATTTGATTCTACATTTAAGGAATATTTTTATGTTTGAGTGAGTTTTTGGTGTGTACATGTATATTTCACAGATTTCACATATAGGCAAATTTCATGAAGCTGCTGGCCTTTTAGCCTTTAAGTATTGTTTTCTATTTCATGAAACTCAAGTATCATAATCCTTAACATCCAGGCATTGAGTCAGGAGAAAAGTCTGTCTTTATTGAGAATGTTAAACTAATCGTATGATCACACATCCACGAAATATTATATGATAATTGAGAAAAAATAAAATATTCCACTGATTAAAAATGAATTAGCTGAAAATTATATTCCGAAGAGCTTACATTCATTATTTAATGCAGAATCACATTTGATCATTCTTTTTTTTTTTTTTTTTTGCGAAATTCGGTTGAAAAATGCCAAAAATGACAATGGATTGTATTAAAGTGAAATAATATCTTCGCAGAATATGATTGTCAAATTAGTACACGTTTACCTCTGTCGTTAATGGTTTCAGAAAAAACAGGTAGAGATAACTGCCTTGTATTAAGAAAGAGCAAGCATTTTCTATTCGATTTCTCTTCTTGTAAATACGAAATGAAAAATGAACATTGCAAATTCAGAAATTCTTATTATTTTTATTCATTTTCCTCATATTGAATAAATCAGAAATGTCAGAATTCATCATTTCTTACATGTTTGTTAAAAAACAGATTTATAGTATCTGTTTAATGTGTATTCCACAACACAACCAAAGGCTTGGTTAATCCATCGATTTGAATCATAATTTATATTTTTCTTTTTCAAAAAGGGATTGCTCTTGATTGTTTCACCAGTAAAACAATAGTAAATTTGACCTTACATAATTCTACAAGTCATTCAAGGGATTGGCGAATTAAACACAAGAAACTTAAATATCTTACAGATTTTTTTTAATTCTGCTAAAAATAGAAAAGAGAACTCGTCCTAGATTCCAAACAAACTGGTTTGGCAAAATTGCTAATTACTTTTTGAAAAGATGGGTACCTTTCATAAACGTAAAAACAGCATTTATGCTATCCATATGAAAATAATGCAAATTTAAAACTAAGTTTCCCGCAGCTGTTATTATTCAGATTAAAGAAGAACGCAGAATTAGTATTGTTGTACATATGTCATTTGTTGATAACATAAATGAAACACATGACATTTGGGAGATCCTATGACTCTCTATTATTGATATTAGTATCTACACCATGTTATGGATCTCCCAAAAATTAAAATAAGATCATGACAATACTCAAAGACACAAATTTATCACACATTTAAGCTGAAAAATAAGGTGGCAAAAACAATAGGCCGATAACAATCGCGTGATATCTGTGATATCTGTGACATTAGTTAACGTCTAATTACCGCAAAACCTCGAAACCTAAACCTATGAATTACCTAACGTAGTTTACTCTGAAACCTGTGATATACAAAATATATTACAGACACTACATTCTAACCACAGAAATGTAAATTTATATATGAATGCATAAAACATATTATTAACAATAATGTTACTCCTTAGTTAAAGACTGAACCAACCCAATAAGGGAAGCCAAAATTTAAAGAATTAAAACTAATATTGTCCTTAAATACGCTATCAAGAGAGGAGTTCAGTAGACTGACCAAATCGTAAAAAGTCAATTAAACTTACTGGCACTATCTCAGTACGTGATTTCACACTAGGACAAAAACATTGAATCCACGAAAAAAGGCCAAAATCTACACGATACATACGAATTTTAAAAGAAACTTTTTTTCAAAGTGAGTTCGGTGAACTCCCCAAAAACACGTTTCAAATTTTATTTAGAAATGCTCGGCAGATCCGCCAAAATACAAATAAGAATACTTGAATGATATTTTCACATTGCCCATGTATTTACATGTAGTAGATTGGGGAGATCCACCAAAATGAAATAGCTTTCATAATATCCCTTCACGTAGACTTAGTGGCATTTTCTCAATATACAAAAACAAAACGTTGGTGAATCCATCAGAAAGGTGGAATTTTTTCTACATGTCAGTTCCTCTTTACGTTGTTCATACACATGAATTCTACAATAAGTGCGGGCATACCAAAATGGTTGGTGCGAGAGAGTACTCAGACTTTCTTGACAACAGAAATTGTGGAAATGCAGTATTAATTTCTGTAGAAATTTAAAGTTGATTTGAACGTTATAGGGTAAGATGTCCCTAGACGTGACGTACCTAATTTCAAGTTACTTCAAAGTCTCCCCAAGATTCAACAATTTTTCATGATCAGAAAGCTCAAGGGACCTTAACGGTAGTTGAACATGATAAAATTTTCCAGTATTATATTTGTTGCATAATGACTCAAGTTTATAAATATGAACTTTGTTTGCGATAAAAGTTTTGAGAGGAACTCTTAGATCCACCCTCGTAGGTAATAGAATACACAGTATAATTGCATATTTTCGTGGGGTCAAATTTTCGTGGTTTGAGGAAAATCTCTTGGTTTGTAGGAATTGAATTTCGTGGATCAAGAATTAATGAATAGTGATGTATGTAACATTTCACATTTCGTGGTAGACATGAATTTGTGGGTCTCCTCATACCCCGAAAATGACGATTGAGAGTTGATTTCAAAGATCCGTATTTGGCGATAAAAATTGCATATGTTATAAAGAGAATTGTAAGAAAGAAAATAGTGAACATTGGGGGGAAATTTAAATTTCTTGATACATTTATTTTCAAAATTAAATAGTTGCATCAGTTTAAAATCGCACAAGTGAGTTAAGGCTAAGTACAGGTGTTTCTATTTAAAAATGACTACATCTTGAAGGTTAAAACTTGTTCTCTAATACAAAAGTGGAACCCACGACATGCGAAATGATGTTCACTTTTGAAATAAAGATTTCAGTAGAGGTTCTGATTGCATTTCAAAACATAAAACAAGTTTTACTTATGTTTATTATTGAAATTCACTCTCAACACTATTGAAATAATTATTTCAATAGTGGTCGTTATTCCCACAGGCCTAGTGGTTACAACAGTGCTTTATGGAATACTTGATC